CTTCTCCATCCTCCATCTGCTGTGGCAAGTATTTGTGGTAAAGTGGTTCCCTTTCCCCAGGCAGGAGAATTCACTTTGATTTCCCTTTATGACTCCAAAGAATTGGTGAAAGTGATCTTGTTGTATGAGGGAAACAGAGACTTGTGCTAATATGGCCACTTCAGTCTAGAAACTGCCTTTCTTGACAGTTCAGGGAAATGTCTACTGAGCATTATTGCCTCTCTTGGAAGCAGCTCCCCTGCTTGTTGAGGGTGTTGTGATCCTCCTGCAGGTCCACATGTTAACTCCCTGACACTTTTTTATTTGTTTTCCTAAATGTGCAGGGAAGACATCAGTGCTGTGATCATTGACTCTAGTCGTTCATGTGCTGACCATTGCTGCCATGCCGGGTTTTCTGCCAATATCCAGGGACCTCACTGAGCCAGCCCTGCTCGGGCCAGGGGGGAGCTGCCATCGGCTAGGAGCACTGTCTCAGCTCGATAGCACAAAGCTGAAGAGACCCTTTTCCATCCAGAGCTCTCACCTGACTATGAAATCCTCTGTGTGCCATGAGCAAATATGAACCTGTGCAAAAAAGTCATCAATTCATTAGGGATTCTCCTATTTCCCATGATAAGGGGCATTAACTATTCATTGTCATTATGAGCCCCTGGAAACTTAAAGAAGCAGCATGTGTGGAAGTAAAGCATGCTGCTGAATAAAAGTCAGCCAGCTGAGCCAACAGGGCTCTGAGTTTTGGGCTGGAGCCGTGGATGGATGCCACAGAGAGAGTGCCATATGCAGAAACCAGCTCACAAAGATTAAAAAAAACTTTCCTTCTCTTCTCATTCTCATGGGTAATGCAGTGCTGCTGACTTCAGACTGCTATGCAACTCCCAAGGGAGCTGCCAAAATGCCACTGTGATGTCTCATGGCATAACCCTTCAGCCAAATACCAGCCCAAGGGGGTGGGGAACCAACTGGCCCTTTATATATTGCAGCAGCAGTGATGTCATACACTCCAGCCAAGTTTGCTGGTTTACCCAGCTCCTGTCTAGTGAAAAAAAAAGGCTGACATTCAGTCTGTGCCAGGCCAGGAATAGTATCTGTAATTTAACCTCCTCATCACAACTTGCTAGGCACTTAAGAGAGACACTGAAAAATGCCTCCTATTTGAAAGAGAGGGTAGGCTGGTTTCTGATTAAACTGCTTGAAATCTGTATTCATGTAAACTTTTTAAGTAGCTTGTTTCAGATGATGCCTACCACTAACACCTCACACATTTCTCAGCATTTCCAAGCAGTTTCAGATGCCCAGCATTGCTTTCCTCTTTCTTTAACATAGACTAAATTCAGACATCCTTAAATGTTTGAACTCGCTGAATCCTGACTTAAGCTCAAATACTGCACCTTGCTTGTTAGCTGCCATGTTTGTCCCAAAAGGTAAAGAAACTATTAGGTTATTAAACCAGTCAGGAACAGCTTCTTTGCCTAAGAAGTTGTTATCATATTTATACAAGGATTAGCTACATCAGTACAGTGCTACTGTTTCCATCCAGTCCCAGTAAGGTGCAAGGTCTGCACCTTGAACACTTGGTGCAGATACAGATTTTCCAGCTTGAAACATTACACTCCACAAGCACTAGTATTCTGTCCAGGCAAGACAAGGATTGCCACAAGGGTTTCAGAGACAGTGGCAGTCACTATTCTTTCGTTTATCCGTGGCGCCGAGTTGTTTTTGTAACAGTGACTCCATCTAGGAAAATAATTGCTGAGATTACATCATGATCTCCATGTTTATAGTTACTCTACTCACTTTTCAGCAAAAGTTCTCAGTTTACAAGGGACAATATATTTTTCCAGACCTCCATCCATGAGATCTGAAAGCCAAGATTCCTCCTAGTTCAGACACCACCACCACTATGTACTGATAAACATTGTGCAACTGGAATGTAGTCAGCAGCCCCATTAATGAGTGAGACAGAACTTAATCACCATCTCCCATGTCTGTGTTAGCTTTGCACAGATAAGAGTACCAGAGAAGCAGTAAAATTGTAATTTCACCTCTGAGCAAAGGGACAACCGAGTGCATATCTCTAGAGTGAGGATTTTTACCCTTTTACATCTGGCTGCAAACATATGTAGCACTGTTTGTTGCTTGTTTGCTTTTTCTTTAGTTTTACTTTTTTTTTTTTTTTTAACCTACACAGACAACAAAAAGCTGTGATTGGTACAGGCTTATCCCTAAACACACTGACAACTTTCATTCCTCAGGTGAGGTGCAGGACACAATCACAGTAGGTGAGCCCATGTTGCCACTTTGCCAGTAGGTTTTGGATACCACAAGCTGAGTCAAACGTTTCCTTAGAGAAGACTGTGCTGTCTGCATTACCTCAAGGCCAGACACTTCTCCTTGTAGGAAATTGATATATTCTTGCAAAGATTAGGCAAACCGGCCTGAACCTTGGGGGTTTCCATAGCAGAAGAATGACAGCAATTCATGTTCACTATGGCTGAGCTTTCCTTTAGCATCTCCTGCCTCTGGTTCATGTATGGAAGCAAAAAGATGTTTTTGTTTACTGCCCCTTACCATGCCAGCTGTCCACCTTTCATCTCCTTCAGCACAGGGACAGTGAAAACCATGGACATTCAAACTCAGCTGTGTTAGTTCCAAGCCCACCAGATTGATGTCTGTATTTGTTGACAGGAGAAAGCCATATACAAGTGGAGTGGAAGCACATATTTTCCTCTGAGTCCCTCTGAAAGGGTAGCCCAGCAGGGAAGAATTCTTCTTTTTAGCCTGGAGTCATCACCCAGCCTTTGCAAAGGGCAGAGTGCCAGGAAATCATTGCTCACTCAGCTGCCAGTGCCTGCTGGGGCTAAAAGAGTGTGCTGGAGATTGTGACAGTTGTTTGCTAGGAACCTGACTGTACTCCACCAGCTATCATACCCAACAGGTATTTGGTTATTGTCATTCTGGGATGGACAGCTGTCTCTTCATGTAAGAAATCCTGAAAATCAGCCCTAAAATGGTTGTCAAGTGGGAGTGAACAAATGAACAAAACAATCCTCAGATGATGCAAACAAATATCTTTGTTTTGAAATTGCAGAGTTCGCTTAGGATCAAAAAAATGCTGAAGGTGAGAAGCATCCTGGGACACTACTTCTGTCGAACCTACATCACTGGACTATTTCTACCTCCTCACTAAAGATGGTCAGAAAAGAATACAAGTATGAGAGTGAGTTCTAAAAACAAGAAGCAACATTATAAGGCAGGTATGTACTTGTATTTCTCATTTATGTAACTGTTGAGAATCAAAACCAGGAGCAGGAGGGCCTTTCATTTGTCTTCTCTTTTTTCTTGCTGCATTATACACAAAGGTGTATGTCTGTGAGGGGAGTGAAACTCATGTTTGAAAAATCTTTGTACAAAGTAAGATGGAGAAGCTCTGTTAGGCTCATTTTATTTCTGGTGTAAATCTATTGTAGTTATGCATAAGTCATTGGAATTGCATGGCTGGAAGGACAGGATCTAAATTCACTATGATACTTGGAGTCTAAAAATAGGTTGGCTGAGATTCTTTTAAATAGAAAAGGAAGGTGAGGAGTGTTTTCATTTGAAGAAACAACTGAGCCAGAGTAATTCAGCTGATTAAGCTCAGTTTCTCTTACTTTTCATACTTTGACCAGCACTGGATCATTCCAGAGGAAAACAGGTGGACCAGGGATCAGGGATTTGGACACTTGGAGAGGCTGGAATCTAGATCTGAATTTCATTTCTCAGTTCTATGAGCTGAATCAGTGGATCCAAGCTTGAGATGTAGCTATCCAAGCTTCCACTTGTATAGAAGTTGCTGTAGATGTGAAGTGTGGTGTTTCAGCTCACCACAAGTTCATCATGCCATTGTAAGGAGGAAATGGAGACACAGACCAGACTTTAGTAGAAGAGTTTTAGCCAGTTCTGGAGTATGCTTTTAAATTGAGTCTCCCTGCAGTTTAGTCAAAATGCTGCTCAAGTCCTCGAATGTGCAAATAATCATCTAAAGAGTTTACAGAGAAACTGTGAAGCGTTTTAGTGTAGAGATTTCAAGTACAGCTGAAGGGTCTGTTTTGATTTTACTTGCTCAATGAAAAGATTCCCCCATCCTGTATTCAGACAGGAGAAACACGAAAACCTCGGTACTTTGGGCCCTGACTGTGTATCATAATCAATCCGTGGTATCCTACAATTGTGTTGAATGGGTTACCTTTAGCTCTCAGCAGTTCTGGAACTGAAACCAAATGCTCCCTGTGCTACTTTGGTGGGTCTGCTACAGTCCCCGAGGCACTCCTGCCTTCTGCTGGCTACGGGGATGTTAGCAGCCTCTTCAGCTCCAACACAGCCCAGCTGTATCCTGCTGTGGGTGGCTAAATTGTACCCCAGCACTATTTGACTGGAACATGCACAGTAATCCTCTTTACCTGTAGTACCATGTTGTTTCTTCAAACAAGGGTTGTGTTCATGGCAATTATCATGACAAAGCTGTGACAATTAAGTTTTATCAACTTTTCTTTCATTTTGGACTTAGTGTGCAATGATGTACTCAGTGACATCTTTTTTTAAGTAATTTTTGTTACTAATTCTTCCTGGCTAAAAATGGATTCTTCTGAATGGATGCACAGCATTTGGAAGTGTTTGTGGTTGGAGGCATGGAAAGGGAAGTACTTGAAATTTGTTTCTTATGTCCTTGTTTAAGAGCCCAAGTAAAGAATATGAGATGAAAACACTTTTTTAAATGTCCCTTTCCAGAAATTAAACTATCTACCATGGGCTACTTGAATTGACCAAAATAACAGTGACTTTTCATGTTGTCCATTGTTTTGCTGGCATCACAACATTAGTCAGTGACTAAGATATCTGGAAAATGCTCTCTGTCTAATAGTGTTAATATAGAAAAATAATAATCTATAATTTTTGGCTTTGCAGAGAAGAAAGTTTCCTTCAGCTATTCTGCAAGATGAGTCAATGTGCAGCAGCACCATCTGGAAGAATGACTTTGTGCTTGTGAATTGCAAACAGCTGGATCTGCTTCACAAATTCACCTGCCTGCTCAAGACTGAAACTAATCCTTTGGATACTTCACCCATGACTCTCATGAACAATGCAGGGAAATAAGAAACACACAGAAGGACACAGTGATTCCTCAAGTATTGGGAGTCTCCTGGATGATGCAGACAGAGAGGTGAGCAGCCTCACAGATCGAGCTTTCAAAAGTTTGTGTGTAGCAGAACTCGAAGACCCTTACAATGAAGCAGAGCTTTCCATTTCACCTGACTTCGCCCTCCAGTTATCTGCTAAAATTCACTCAGGGACGTTGAACCATGACATCAAGAAAAGCAATGTCTGTGACAAGCTAACAGCAAGAAATAACGAACATACAATATGGGCTTCCACATTCCAGCAGTTACCTAAGTGTGCTTTGGAGGAGAAAAGGATTGCTAAAAACACCTTTGCTATGGAAAAGAAATTGAATTTGCCAGTCCCTGGTCCAAGGAACAATAAGCATGTTTCAAAAGTGTCCTCATTGATTAAGACATTTGATAAGACTGCAGACGAAGGGTCAGGAAGTTCTCTGATAGCAAATAAGCAGCCCATTAAGAATAGCTTTCAAAAATACAAAATAAATCATGGCAATGATAATGCTTCCTGGGATGATACAGACATTTTAAGCATCCACAAGGAACTTTCTGAATTTTCTGAGGCTAGTCAAGGTAGCCACTATCTCAGTGGCAAACATGAGTCGCAGAGAAGACCTAATAAAATTGACCTGAGCTATGGGGACTCTGATGGTTATCCTGTGCTGATTGAGATGTCAAAAGTAGCCAAGTCAAATTTTTCCCATTCTTCTAAGAAGGCTTTAAAAAACAGAAACTTGAAAATTAATGAGCCAGCAAAAAAAGGTAGTTTTCTTCACAGTGAGAATAGTGCTTTTGAATCATGGAATGTTCATCATAAAAAAATGACAGAAAAGGAGGAATTTGTTGACACAAAAATGAAAAAAGAAGGTCTTGCATACCTGGAAGAATCACCATTTGTTAAAGGATCCCATACACATGAACATAAATTGTCAGCTGTCATGACCACTGCTGCTAAGAAGACAGAGAAAGATTTTCAGCCAACCCTACAAGAAGCTTCTTTCTGTCTCCGAGTTGTACCTCAGGGTGCCCTCCCTTCAGAAACCAATTTTCCTGCTGCTTTCCCTCCCACACCTCCCCCTAGGAACCACCTACCCCAGGGTCCCCCTCGGCCACCCCCTGCCCCACCTGCACTTCCTCCGCCACCCCCGTCCCTGCCTGGCCGTCCCTCAACACCCCCTACCCCTGAAGCCCCTCCTGTGCCCCCACCCCCAGTGCCAGCTCGGCTGTCCCCCACTGCCTTGTCCCAAGCCTCTGTGTCACCCCAGTCTGTGTCCTACAGGATGGTTTCACCCTCACTCAGGTTTGAGACACCCAGTCCGCCTCCACCAAAACCCTCAGCTGAGCAGGAATCCCTCAGCCCCCCGCTGGGCAATGCCTGTCCACCCTGGAGGAGACAGAGAAGGGCGGCAGGGAAGAGACAGGCTGCAAAGGAGAGGGTCACAGGCAGCCACAAGACCTCACTGTCTGAAAAGGCGACTGGTGCTGACCCTGGTCTGCATGTGGCTCCTCTGGCTAAACAGGCAAACTCCCCTGCGCCCAGCAGCCCTTCTTTCAACATCACCCAACTCCTCACTCCTGTCATACCACCAAAACAGGAGGTGGGCACTGCTGAAAGTGAGCTGATCCCGCTGACACCTCCTCCCACAGAGAGCACAGCCTCAAGAGACCATGAGGACAGCACTTCAGATGATTACAGGTCTTGGGATAATTACAGGCTGACAGCATCAAGTCTGTTATTTAACCTAAAGGATGTGCGCAAACGTGTTAAAAGCATTTATACCCCTTCTCCCCTGCTAAGGGCCTTGGAGGAGAAAAATAAAACAAGGGAAAATATTCAGGAGAGTACAAAAACGAATACCTCATTCTCAAGTTTGCATGACAAAAACGATAAAAATATTACAGAGAAAGATGAATTGAGTGATATAGCTTATGTATTGCCTAGCAGTGTTCATGACAAGGACAGTAAAACTGATTTAACTGGACACCTCACAGGAAACTACCTGGCTTTGAGTTCACCCCAGACAACAGAAGACCTTCCATTTTACCAAACTGGAGACAGCATGCAGCAAGACAATTCAGAACACCAAGATCTGGTTAAAAACACAGGGGATAATGAAAATTTCCCCTCTCTCAGACATGAATCAAATGAACCTGATTTAGGAAAACATCAGCAGTATCCAGCACAGAGACCATTCAGTAGAGACAATGTAGACACAAAAGCTGGGCAGCCCATTCAAAATCACAGTGTGCAGGGTGAGGAAAATGAAAGTCAAGCAGCTATTCAGAATGAAAATTTTGCCTTCAAAACACTCCTAAGCCAACTCTCACCAGAAGAAGATGAGCCTTACAGTGACACCCAAACCAGCATTGTGGTACCTGGCCATGAAGCACGAGGCAAAAGAAGCACTAGTTCTTCAGAGCAATCCTTTGTCTCCACAATGGAGCAGCCACTTCAGGAAGAGCCATTTCTGCCAGGGCCCCTGATGGAGCAGACGTGCCTCCAAGAAAGCCAGAGGACTGACAGTGAAATGGGTTCAGGAAGTAAGAAAAGACACAAGGAGAGAGGGAAAGAGGTTGGGGAAGATGAACTGCAATACTGTGCTTGTATCAGCCCTGCTACTAGTGCAGCAGAGAAGAGGGAGGGAAGTGTTACTGGGAATGAACAGAGGAGCTTGAAAGAGAAACTAGGGAGAGAGAAAAGGGAAGAGGCCAACAGCACAAATTCTGCGTCTGATGGTATAAGAGACATGTCCATCCCCAGGTCTGAGGAGCCACAAACAACATCATCAACCAAACCCAGTCTGTTTATGATTAAAGATAACACATTCAGGTCACCTCAGGTCATCAGGACTGTCAAGCTGCCCCTGCTCCGGTCATTTTCCCTGGATGATACAGTGAGCAGCAGTTACAAGGAAATGGAACGTAAGTTCATGTCCCCAGCAGTTCACAGCAAGCAGCACCGGAACATGCTGCATGCCCAGGAGGTTGGCTGGTGGGCATCAAGACACAGAGGGCAGCAGAACGTGAGAGATGGAGCAACTGACAGAGAAAAAGAAGCCAGTGAGGCTGAATCTACTTCAGTAACACTGGATCCCAGTCTTCTGGAAGATACAGAGAGCTTTTCATTTGGAAAATTGACGGAAGAAGATGAAAAGACTTGTATGTTGTTAAATAAATTTGGGAAAATGAATGAGGAAAGTGTCTGTAGAAGTAAAAAGAAGCCTACAAAGGCAAGACAGAGCTTAGCAGAGCCAGTTCTAGGTCTGGAAAATGACCAAGCACAAAACAACCCCAGCTATCCTGCAGAAAGAAAGACAAATTACTTTAAGAATCATCATTTATCTAACCGCAAAGGGGGCTCATGTACAAAAAAAATAATATCTCGGGAGGCAATTTCCCCTGTGGCTGGCTCCATATTAGAGGACCATACGTGTTCTTCTGTATCCAATGACACTTTAGAGGACATCCTGCATACAGAAGGTGCACCAGTTTTGTTAGACAATCTTTCATGCTCTGCTGTTGCAAGCCCCAGGTCAGGAAGAGCAATGCATTCTCTTGCTGCCAGTTCATTGTCAGATAAACCAACCATTTCTGGCCTTAGAGAGACGGAGAATGTTTCAAATCCTGCCTTGTTGAACATGGCACTGGAGAGGCAAGCTTATCTGCCTGCAGAAGAGATAATCGATTCAGCACAGAGGAACCTGCTTTCTGATGCCACAGGGAAAGATGTGAGACTGGAGCCTAGGGGACTTGGTGGCAGACCAGCTGGCAAGCCACCCACTGTGCCACCTAAAACAGAAAAGGCTCTGCGCCGTGCTAAAAAGCTGGCAAACAAGAGGAAAAAAGTGCAGGAGCAGCAGAAAAGCCATCAGACTGAGCATACAGATGCTGTAGGGGGAAAGCCTACTCATTCTGGAGAGACAACAGTATCTGCTACACCCTTAGGATATCCTCCCCTTCCCTCAACTTTTACTCCCACAGAAACCACAACTGGGAAATCTAGACTTGCACCAGCAGCAAACTCTTCATCCTCTTCAACCCAGCGGAAACTGCTCCAAGACCCTGACTCTGGTCAATACTATGTAGTTGATTTACCAGCTGAAGTTAATTTAAAGACATTTTATGATCCAGAAACTGGTAAATATGTTCAAGTCTCAATCCCTTCCTTGGAACAGAACTTACACCAGCCCACCTCTTCAGAAATTAAGAATTCTCCCTATGCCTCCTACCCTAGAGTGCTGCCTTTACCAGCCTCATCAGTAGCAGTGCTGAAATCACCTTCCCAGCTCTCTGAACCTGCCTGGTCAGGCCCTGCTGGACCAGAGCCAGCTGAGCTACCTGAAGATGGCCAGCAGGACTACAGATACACTGAGTCTGTGGATACTCAGCCCTACACTGAACCAGCCTCCTACTCCTACCACCAAGATGCTGGAGAAACTCAAGTTCACTTAGGAAAGGATGTGAGCCCAACCCGAAATACTGGCATTGTCACCCTCACCAATTTAGATGATTTTGCTGCTGAAGGAGTATCTTGAAAACTGACGTAACAAAACATGCCAGCTAGTGTTTTTAAGAACTGTTTGGACAGACACAAGCACACGAAAGCACATGCAGATTTGATATTTGTACAACACTTTGTCTGAATCTCATTGTGGTTTGGGTGGGAAAGGAAACAAAAGCTGTTCATGTTGAAAGATGCAAGGTAATGACCACTCTGAAGAAAAGAGAAACTGAGTAAGCACCAAATTACTAGTGAGATGAAGGAGCAATGCCAGCTAGACAAATACATTTGGCAATGTGAAGCCACTGCTTGCTGCTGCTGCTGCTTTTAAGAAGGCTGGGATAGCCAAAGCAAGTGTCCAATTGCCCAGATGTGTTGCATGATACATAACACAAAATAAAACCTATGAGACCATCCTATGCATCCTATGAGACCTAGAACTGATGCTGCATCTACTGAACTTTCCTCACTCACTGCCTTTGAACTATATTGACAGGTAGAAAGTATGTGGCTATAAATATGCCATATATGCAAGACCCATTTTTTGCACAAGTTGATTGCCCTGATGTCATTGACAAGGAGATTGTATACTGGATGCACAATACAACAGCCATGTCAAAAAAAACCCTTTTAAACAACCAGAATACAGTTGCAGCTGCTCTAGACTTCTCATATACTTTTGCAGTGTCCACTAACATGCTGCTGAATTCTTTGTATTCCTTGATAACATCCAAATAGGTTCCCCCAGAGTCAGGGTTTATTTATAATAAATAAATCAGGTTATCTTGATATTTGGCCTGAAATATTTTGGTGAGGAGCAAGGTTGAATGAAATCCCACAAGAGTATTTAATTGTTTGTTCAGATAAGAAGTCCTTTGCTATTGCAATTGAAATGTGTTTTGTTTTGTTTTCAGGCTCCCACTGAAACATAGAACTAACTTTTAAAACCTGAAAAATGTACTTGAGTTTGATCTGTGAATTCTGTGATTTAATACAAACAAACAAACGAACCAAATATTCAGAATGTCCAACGTATTAATTTCTAGAAAACTGCTTCTTTCAATTATCACTTTGCATTGAAAGATCTGTATGAAAATATCACTCATCCTTGCATAAGCTCTTTTTTATCATCATAGTTAATGAGGAAACCTAGGTGAAAAGATGGAAAAATTGAATGTATTGTGCCTGCTTGTAAATATCTATATTTGGAGTATTGGCTTAGTTTTTTCTGTCTCATTTTCACACTGTTTTCCCCAGTTACAGCTGAAGTGCAGAAGCTCTAAGGAATAATTATGCCAGTGACTTTCAGCCTGATTCACACCTTAGGAAATTTTTACAGGATTTTTTTCAGCGAAGCAGCTCTTGACTTCCTGAAAAGAAAGGGATGAATCAGGCCTTTGGTTAATGAATAAAATGTGGAGACAGGACACAGGCACTGCTCCACTCTCCCAGTGTTAGTATTTATGGCAGAGTTTTTCTTCAGTAAGTATCCCAGGACTGAAGCCTCTCTTGAGACACAGACCCACTTTATGGTTTTTCTCCTTCCTTAACCTGAACTCAGCTCTCAGCCTTCCTCTATCCCTGACAAGAGCCAGGTGCTCACAACCTGTCCTGGTCTCACCAGACAGTTCCTTTCATCAGTGCCACCTGCTGAAATATTTCTCTTAGACAAACACTAAGGGCATCACTTAATTGATTACAGTGGGGTTTGGATTTAGCCTTTAATGATTTTCTAAGGTTCATTTCACCTGTTACACATTTTTGATTTGGTAGGTTTGCAGCAGAGGTGTGGGTTGGAAATGAAGAAGCTTGTACTGGTATGGTTTGGATTTTAAGCACATTCAGACAAATGCCCATATTTGAATAAACATTTGTTGTTCAGTTTTCCACCCTGGAAAGTTTTTAGTACCTGACTAAATAAAGCCCTGGGCTGTCCTCAGAGCTGACCCTATTTGAGCAGGAGGTTCACCCAGAGATCTGAGATTTTTTGCAGCCTGAATTATCCTGTGATTCTGTTCTGAAAACATTAAAATTTAAACTAATTTTGACTTGGAACTCAGCAAATGCAGTATTCCCTGAGAAAGGGCTCATTTTGAAAGATTTTTTTTTTAAACTGAAAATCAGGAGTTCTTCAGGAACGAGAATTCATTTTCAGGTTGTGAAATTAAGGGAAGTGGCTCTTACTCTAAATATTTTTAGTCACAAATATTTTGAAAACTGATGATGCTATTCATGTTGCACTTCTCTGTTGCTGTCACTCTATACAGCATAATGTCTATGCAGTATAGAGCAGCATCTCATCCACATATTAAAATATAATTAAATAGATCCATTAGAGTTTTCCATGGTGCATTTAGACAAAACCTATGAAATCTTAGAACCTATCAGAGTGCACAAGCCCTTTTGTGTGTGTGTGTGTGTGTGTGTCTGTGTGTGTGTGTGTGGTATTACAAATTTTAATGCCATTAACAGCCACAAATCAAGAAGTAGGCTCTCAGAGGACAGGATAAAAGCTTCCTTTCCAAGGGAAGACTGTGGATATGAGGTATCTGTGAACAGATTAAAAAATGAATGGTAATCTGATGGAAAAAAAGTGTATGTGTATTTTAAAATATCCCTTTTACTTCTTTAGCTGTTGTTTGTTTTATAGACATGCACGCTTCTGCACCCTTTTATCAAGGGTCTCCTAAAACTCTTATTGTAGAGAATAGGATGCTCCATTATACTGCTTCCAGGTGTGTGAGGAAAGCAGGGTGCATTTTTCCCTCTGCTGTTAAGGTGAACCGAACATGGACATCTAAAGAGGAACCAGTCCTAACTTGGATATCAAATACATTTCACGTAGGACTTCTTCATTTCCATCATCCCTTCCTGCTAGCTTCAGGGAGCTGCATTCACAGTGGGCTGTATCTCTGAACAGCTCCCACAGGGGGTTTGACCTGCAGAATTTGTAACTAAATTGTTGTAGCAAGGTAGGGTCTTCTCCAAAGTAACAAGTGACAGCACCTGAGGAAATTACCTGAAGTTGCTCCATGGAGGTTTAGAATAGACATTAGGAAACATTTCTTCACTGTAAGGATGCTCAGCCATTGGAATAAGCTGCCCAAGGAAGTACTGGGATCACCATCCTTGGTGTGGTGAACACTTGGTGCTAAGTTAACTGTTAAGTCATGATTTTAGAGGTTTTCTCCAACCTTAATGATTCTATGATTCTGTGAAATTAAACAAACTGGGGCGTTTTGAGATAGATAAGAAAGTGGTTCTTGTCTCGTATCCAAAGCTTCCCACACTTTGCCACAGGGCATGAATGATATTAGAAATGTATTTCCAGGTCCCAGCCTGGTATTGAGCAGGAACCCATCAGCAAATCTGTCTCTGGCCCAGACCAGTTGGCTGCTGGCCAACTTCTTGCTAGGCTGTGGGAGTGTGTGTGTACAAACACACACATGCACCCACATAAGCAACCCCATATATATATGTAATATACCTGCAAAACTGCTATTTGCATATTAATATAAGAAAGCAGTAATGCCTGTGATGGTGAACACAAAATGTTTGTGTGTTAAAAGGAAGATAAATGACACGTTTTCAAATAACAAATATTTTTAGTTCCTTGTCCTGTTCTGTTTATGTTTGCTGGGGAGATGTTTTCCATTGCTGCTGTGGGAAACAGGGCTAGAAGAGGTCAGTACTAGGCAGAATGAGAGCTGTAAATTGACCCTTTTCTTTGGGGAAGGGTGCTATGGGAAACGTGCAATAGTCATGAAAGCAGTTGTAGGAAAGCACTGTTTAGTGGCAATGACATTAAGTTGTAGGTTTAAGAGGTGTTGAGGCAAACCAAGCCAAATTCTGCCTTGCCAGCAGACTGTGGTTAGGACTAAAGAACACAGCAGGTTTTTGGCTTGCACAGCAGGCTGAAGGGAGCAAGGGACATTGTTTTCACTGTTTCCTTCTCCTGCACCTAGTCTTTGTGCATGTTGCATTTCTTGGTGCCCTGAGGTCCTTTACAGTGATGATTCTTCCTTGGCAGGGGTGACTGAGGCTAAACCTGACTTAGCTAGTCTTTGATCCTAGGGCCAGAACTGCCTCTCTCTGAATCTCTTTCTCCTCGTGGGGTGACTGCAATGCCAACAGTCCAGCTGTCACATGGCAGACTTGGACTGCCATCCCACAGCCATGGCTCTGTCCCAAGGGCTTGAATTTCCTCATGGAAATTGCTGGATTGGTTTTAGAGAGTTTAGTTTAATTGAAATGGCCTACATGCATGGATTTTTGTCAACTCCTCCTTGGGTGTTCAGTGCCTTCCTAAGTCATCTGTCCAAGAAGATATATGTCATCAGCATGTTCCATCAATGCAACTGTATTTGCAAATAAGTAATTATTTATTAATTAATAAACAAAATAAATGGGACTTGTTTTATAATTCTGGAATGACTTCTAGCCAGCTTTTCCATTGTAATTATGTGTCATTGTAATTTTATCTCCAGCTGGCACAGAAAGTTTGGAACAAGGAAGTGTGTGTGTGTGTGTGTGTGTGTGTGTGTGTGTGTGTGTGTTTGGTATACAATTAAAAGATCTAGGACATGACTGGATGCAGGGCTTCCTCCCCCTTCCTCCCCTTCCTAAAGGGAGGGAGCAGGAGACTGGGCAGAAACACCTCTGGCCCACGACTCCTGCAATCACTCCACCCTCCCTGTTATGCAGGAGCAGTGGTCTGTCTGGCCAGAGCACCATGGGGATATGGTGCCAGCGCCCAGAGGACATCAGGTCTTTTGTATTCCCTGTGTCCCATCCTGGGGGAAGTTACCAGGTGTGTAATTCGTCTTTTTTCACATTTCTCCTAATTTTCTCTTATTGTAGATTGTGTTATGAAACACAGTGGAGACTTCTCAGAGTGATTTTGGCTCAGCCCTTGTCCAGACTGGCAATTTTATTTAGGTTTGCTCTGTTTTCATCCCTGAGTAGCCCAGAAGTCCTTGCTGACAGTGAATGTACTCCTGTAATATGAATACAACAGACCATAAAGAGAATAGTTGGCTGGTTATGTTTTTACCAAAAATACACTGACAGGTTTGCATTTCTGTATTTGGGGGATATACTCTGCTTCATTTCTGAGTAAATAAAAAACTCTGAGTTTGATCCCCTCTCTCACTGAAAAGCAGCATCAGAGGCTGGTGATATTGCACATGATGGGTTACATGGGCTCTTGTGAATACATATAAATGTGTAATTTGGAGCAACTGGTGTACATCAGTCATTTTTATTAAAGAAACTCTGCTTCAGAGCCTTATAGGAGATAAAGAACATGGAACACTTGAGTAAATTGAACTTCAATGTGTTTGGGGTTTTTTTGTGAAATCCTCATTATAACAACAGAGGTCAGTGATTAATTTATTTTGTCTTTAAGATGATTATTCTGGTCTTATGATGATCTCACATTTAACACTGTCCTCTGATACTAAATATAATATTGTAATTACAGGGTTTAAATGGATAGGGAATGGCTGAAAATGACCTGTGGTCTTCCCTTGCTTCTTTTTGATATTCTCAAAGTTTTCATGATGTTGATTTCTCACATTTGATAGTCAGGTCTTTGGTACTATATGGCCAATTAGAGACTTGCTTCTAATATGCTAT